GGCCGATTTATGAAAAATTGTGTATATATAAAATTTAATAAGCGCACTCATCAAGCTTGGAGATAAGACAGTGTATTACACGGTGTATAGGAAATTAGTTTTATAGTAATAAGGCAATTAACAAGATGTTATAATTATTTTAATGCATGCAACCAGGACCGTAACTAGCAATTTAATAAAGTTCACAGCTCATCTGAATGACTTAAGCTTGTTTACTTAAGCATAAAGAATCTTTCCTATTGGCTGGACAAACACAATGACAAAATACCGTTAATATGATTGAACATTCTATGAAAATAAACATTTATCGAGTTAAGTGCATCCAAATATCCATATCATTCCAGCGTTTAATTAGTCGAACATTAAACATTCAATACGCGCGGCCATTGTTGACAAATCAAAGTTGATTAAAAGTCCATTTCGGCGAAAACGCCGGGCGGAATAACGAAATAGGCGCAATTGTGTGTCGGTATGTATATGATGAGAGCGGTCAATTAAAGTAAAAGGTCCCGGATAATGTGATATAATAACCGACCAACCAACAGAGCGAGTATCATTTATTCCATGCATACAAATCTGGCAAACACACAATAATAATTGGACGTCAATGGATAAAATGGACCGTAACTGGAATATAAAAGGTATTGGTATGTTATTCTAAATTTGTTGTATGGTTAATTCTCTAGAATTTTTTGCAGCATATAGATTTGGGGTTCCTACATACCTCCTATTTAAGTAAATCAATCTTTTACTTTGCAGTTAATATTCAAACCTAATTTTTGTAGTAACTCTGGTAAAGTCAAAATTATTGTATATTTTTCGAAATAAAATGATTTTTTAAAAAGTGATTCTTAAGAAGAAATCCTTTAACTGACGCAGTCGGTAGGAAGTCAGAAGACTTTATGGAATATCCAGTTTAGAAGTAGCTCTTCCTGAAGAAAATCCAGAAGATTGTCAGTCTCAACTGTTTCAGGGATTGTAGTCCTCTACTAGGATAAGAATCACTGAAAATTTCAACTTTCTATCTATAATAGAAAAAAAGTTATGCCCTTCCAAAGTTTTCCAAAATTTAAATCATAAGATAGGTACCTTCTTACTAAATGGAAGAAATTTCAAATTTTTTTTTGTTGAGATTTTATGTGCCACTGGTCCATTAACATCCCCCAAACTCCATACACTAAATTATTCTCAGATTTGAAGCCGAAATCTATGAAAAAAGGCACTCAGAAAAATTGAAAAATTGATAAATCAGCCCAAATTGCTTAACACAATTTTATCTCAGGAACTATAAGTGCAAATGAGCTGAAATTTCCAGGGATTGTAGTCCCTTTACTGAGATAAGATTCGGTGAAAACTTCAACTTTCTATCTATAATAGAAAAAAAGTTATGACTTTTCAAAGTTTTCCAAAATCTAAATCATGAGGTAGGTACCTTCTTACTAAATGGAAGAAATTTCAAATTTTTTTTTGTTGAGATTTTATGTGCCACTGGTCCATTAACATCCCCCAAACTCCATACACTAAATTATTCTCAGATTTGAAGCCGAAATCTATGAAAAAAGGCACTCAGAAAAATTGAAAAATTGATAAATCAGCCCAAATTGCTTAACACAATTTTATCTCAGGAACTATAAGTGCAAATGAGCTGAAATTTCCAGGGATTGTAGTCCTTTGAAAGGGATAAAATTCAGTGAAAGATTCAGCTTTCTATCTATAATAGAAAAAAAGTTATGACCTTCCAAAGTTTTCCAAAATCTAAATCATAAGGTAGGTACCTTCTTACTAAATGCAGGAGATTTCAATTTTTTTTTGTTGAGATTTTGTGTCCTACTGGTCAATTAACATCCCCCAAACTCCATACACTAAATTATTCTCAGATTTGAAGCCAAAATTTATGAAAAAAGGCACTCAGAAAAATTGAAAAATTGATAAATCAGCCCAAATTGCTTAACACAATTTTATCTCAGGAACTATAAGTGCAAATGAGCTGAAATTTCCAGGGATTGTAGTCCCTTTACTGAGATAAGATTCAGTGAAAACTTCAGCTTTCTATCTATAATAGAAAAAAAGTTATGCCCTTCCAAAGTTTTCCAAAATCTAAATCATAAGGTAGGTACCTTCTTACTAAATGGAAGAAATTTCAAATTTTTTTTTGTTGAGATTTTATGTGCCACTGGTCCATTAACATCCCCCAAACTCCATACACTAAATTATTCTCAGATTTGAAGCCGAAATCTATGAAAAAAGGCACTCAGAAAAATTGAAAAATTGATAAATCAGCCCAAATTGCTTAACACAATTTTATCTCAGGAACTATAAGTGCAAATGAGCTGAAATTTCCAGGGATTGTAGTCCTTTGAAAGGGATAAAATTCAGTGAAAGATTCAGCTTTCTATCTATAATAGAAAAAAAGTTATGACCTTCCAAAGTTTTCCAAAATCTAAATCATAAGGTAGGTACCTTCTTACTAAATGGAAGAAATTTCAAATTTTTTTTTGTTGAGATTTTATGTGCCACTGGTCCATTAACATCCCCCAAACTCCATACACTAAATTATTCTCAGATTTGAAGCCGAAATCTATGAAAAAAGGCACTCAGAAAAATTGAAAAATTGATAAATCAGCCCAAATTGCTTAACACAATTTTATCTCAGGAACTATAAGTGCAAATGAGCTGAAATTTCCAGGGATTGTAGTCCTTTGAAAGGGATAAAATTCAGTGAAAGATTCAGCTTTCTATCTATAATAGAAAAAAAGTTATGACCTTCCAAAGTTTTCCAAAATCTAAATCATAAGGTAGGTACCTTCTTACTAAATGCAGGAGATTTCGAATTTTTTTTTGTTGAGATTTTGTGTCCTACTGGTCAATTAACATCCCCCAAACTCCATACAGTAAATTATTCTCAGATTTGAAGCCAAAATCTCTGAAAAAAGGCACTCAGAAAAATTGAAAAATTGATAAATCAGCCCAAATTGCTTAACACAATTTTATCTCAGGAACTATAAGTGCAAATGAGCTGAAATTTTCAGGGATTGTAGTCCTTTGAAAGGGATAAAATTCAGTGAAAGATTCAGCTTTCTATCTATAATAGAAAAAAAGTTATGACCTTCCAAAGTTTTCCAAAATCTAAATCATAAGGTAGGTACCTTCTTACTAAATGGAGGAGATTTCAATTTTTTTTTTGTTGAGATTTCGTGTCCTACTGGTCAATTAACATCCCCCAAACTCCATACACTAAATTATTCTCAGATTTGAAACCGAAATTTATGAAAAAAGGCACTCAGAAAAATTGAAAAATTGATAAATCAGCCCAAATTGCTTAACACAATTTTATCTCAGGAACTATAAGTGCAAATGAGCTGAAATTTTCAGGGATTGTAGTCCTTTGAAAGGGATAAAATTCAGTGAAAGATTCAGCTTTCTATCTATAATAGAAAAAAAGTTATGACCTTCCAAAGTTTTCCAAAATCTAAATCATGAGGTAGGTACCTTCTTACTAAATGGAAGAAATTTCAAATTTTTTTTTGTTGAGATTTTATGTGCCACTGGTCCATTAACATCCCCCAAACTCTATACACTAAATTATTCTCAGATTAGAAGCCGAAATCTATGAAAAAAGGCACTCAGAAAAATTGAAAAATTGATAAATCAGCCCAAATTGCTTAACACAATTTTATCTCAGGAACTATAAGTGCAAATGAGCTGAAATTTTCAGGAATTTCAGGAAAAATGAAAAGCCCAATGAAAATATCGTAAATCTGATGAACTACGCTATTTTATCCTGCCCTAAAATACACACCTTTTTAAATCACCAAAGGCCAACTAGATTACAAAAATCCGTTGGAAATCTCCAAGACCAAAAGTTATTTCAATGCATTCAAGATCACTCTGATAATCTCAGAATAATTAGTCAAGAATTCCACGGAAAATTCACTGCCGCTATACAACAGTGATCACGTAACCAATGTCAAAATGTTTATCGAACATGCAGGAAAAAATTCCACATCCTACAAATAAAAAAATTTCCCATATGTAGCGAACATTATGGGGAACACTGTATATTGCTTCAGATGGAACTCTTTCTTCTACTTCTAATAGTACCCCTAGGTATGAACTTAGAAATAAAAGAAATTGAAAAGCCTATTCTACTTTTATTTATCCCTATAGGTCCTGCCTACATTATCACAATTCAACATACATCAATGTAGGTAATCCTATTTTTTGTTTGCTGATATTTAACAGTCTGTATCCAGATTTTGTTCATCCAATATTCCGGCAATTCCGGACCTGATTCGGCTTTCGAAAAATAAATATAGAGGCCTTTGTGCCTGTCGCGAACCGGCATTCAGCTGTCAAACGTCGAAGCATTTTAATGCTAATTCGGGATTTAAAAGGCACACACGCACCGTTTTTTTTTTTTTAATATATCGCAAAGTGACACTTTAAACTCGTCAAGGATAAGATCCGGATATTATATTTATTCCAATTAAAAATTCCATTTCAGGGTAAAGAAAAATTCCATTAAACGGAAAAAATTGAATCCTCTGGGACGAAAATGACCATGCGAGATTAAAATGCAAAGAACTGCGGAGATTGTGTGTATTTAAAGCTTCTCCCCGAGTTTTTCTAATTAAGAAGGGGCTGGAAATTCATCAGAATGGACTTAAATTATTATGCCTGATAAATCGTAGATCCAGTCCTTGGACTATACAGAACGCATCCAGGTAAAAAGCGTCGTCAATTAATTTCGGATTTGATTGGCACTCACCCTTTGAAAAAAAAAATACATAGAAAAAGGAGTTTTACAATTTATTTTTGTCTGTTGGTAAATTTTAATACAAATATTATTTGCAACAACCTTGGCCACATTCCTCAAAACACAATAGTACAAATATGCGAACCAAAAAAATTGGTACCCGAACACTTCCATTAGAATCTTGCTTTACTTGAACCATCAGTACCATTTGTAACGTCTATTCGTGTACGTGTGCGTCTATTTTTGTGTGTCCCTTTTATTTTTTTTTACAAGTTTTATCAATTAAGGTAAGTGAATTATTTAATTATTACTTCGTACATATTTTCATTTACTAATTTACTGTAGAAATATCTGTTGAAAAATGGCCACCAACGACACCCGCTATTCGATTAGAGACGTGGAAAATGTCGTGCAAAGCATCGAGGGTAAAATCAAAAGTACCACCGTTTCGAAACCGACGCGTCCCGGCGACAATTTCGTCAGCCTTATACTTCAGGTGGACTTCGATCTGGAAAAAAACGGAAAATCTCGATCGGTCAGCGCCACGGAAAGCTTAATAGCAAAACGACTGCCGCCCTCGCGACAAAATCGAGAATTCGCTGCTTTGGGAATGAAAAACGAAATTCAATGGTACAAGGAAATCCTCCCCCTGCTAAGAGATTTTGCTATTGCAAACACAATTGAAGTGAACTACTATGCCGACTACATGGGATCTAGACTCAACATGGACCCAAATCTCACCGAACTTGACGATGAAGCTGTTTTGCTTTTGAAAAATTTAAAAAGCGAAGGTAATTTTTGCATGAAGCAACAAAATTCCATTCATAATTGTTTATTTCAGGATTCAAAAACGAAGATCGCTTTGTTGGATTCGACCTGCCAACAACCAAAGAATCCTTGCGAATGCTCGCCCATTTCCACGCCCTACCTTTGGTAATGAAATTCAAAGCCCCTGAAGTCTTTGCCACCTTAAAAAATTACCTAAACACGTGCCAACTTGGGGTACCACCACCAACACCCACTGCGCAATCGCTGGACTGGTTCCCGACAAATCCGGCCGCCCGCAAACCACCAACCAACTTGGTTATCGAGCAAATGATGCAGTTGCCCGGTTGTCAGCCCTACAAAATCCAGTTGCAAGCGATGAAAAACAACGAAACCGATCTTGCCGAGCACAAATTCGCTGCGGAACCTTGGAACACCATTGTGCACGGTGACTACTGGGTAAACAACATCATGCTAAAACCCAGAATTGAAATGGAGCCTCGCGTCAAGATGCTGGACTTTCAGTTTTTGGAATATGGTTCCTTTGGCTTGGACGTAGTATTCTTTTTATTAAGCAGCGTCAAAAACGATATACAAAAGAATCATTTAGATGATTTAATCAAGTAAGCTAATAGCCAATAACCCATATATATACTTAACATTAATTTATTCCTAGATTTTATTATAATGAGCTAACTGGAGTCCTGGACAAACAAGATGTAAGTGAATTGAAGCTCACCTACGAAGATTATCTGGCTGAATTAAAACGGTGCGCAAAAACTTTGGGGATCGAGCATCTGCTCTTTATTTCGTGCATCATTTTCGGGCCGAAAGAGGGCCCCGACGTGAGCCTGGGCGAAATCAAGATGCTGGACCATTTGAAAAATATTGCTGAGAACATGAACCAAAATCACAAGGACAAGTTGGAATTGATTTTGAAATTGGCTGGACAGAGAGGATGGATTTAAATTTGTTTTGTGTGTTTTTATTGGATTTTTTAATTAATAAATTTTGACCATTTTATTCAACTTTATAATAATTTTGGTGTTTTTTTTTTTGAACTGATTACAATTCTATTCATATAAATTCTGATAGTTTGGGTTAGTTGAGACCATTGGCCTGCAATTTACAATATTCCTAGGTTTATAGTTTTTGAGCAAATCAGGTTTGGAGTTTTTGACAAAATTCGGACTAAAAGTTAACTTTGAGGCTCAATGGCTCAAAAACCATTTGAGCAACTAGTCTCAATTTTGCACAGATTTATAGAGAATTGAATGCTCTTTCCAATGATATATAATTTATTTCAATTTGCTCAAAATTTACCAAAGATATGGGCAATTGTTCATGACCATGTCAAGATTTTGAAAATTTTTCAGAGCCAAAAATAGGATTTTCTTTTTATTTTTGTTTCTGCTTAAAATGGCGATTTGGAAATGATGTCAGGGTTCTTTTCTATTAATTTAGAGCCGCTCTATCGATTGATAAAGTCAAAATTGAGCAAAACTGAAAAATAAAAAAAATCGATTTTTTTATAAGGGGTACGTACCCCTTTGAATTTTAATTCCAAAATATTCAAACCTCAATTGCTCGGTAACCGTTGGGCAAATTGTATTGAAATTTTCTGCATTTGTAGCTCTTATTACGCTCTAAATGGCCTGCAATTTGCAATATTCCTAGGTTTATAGTTTTTGAGCAAATCAGGTTTGGAGTTTTTGACAAAATTCGGACTAAAAGTTAACTTTGAGGCTCAATGGCTCAAAAACCATTTGAGCAACTAGTCTCAATTTTGCACAGATTTATAGAGAATTTAATGCTCTTTCCAATGATATATAATTTATTTCAATTTGCTCAAAGTTTACCAAATATATGAGCAATTGTTCATGACCATATCAAGATTTTGAAAATTTCCCAGAGCCAAAAATAGGATTTTCTTATTATTTTTGTTTCTGCTTAAAGTGGGTATTTGGAATCAATGTCAGGGTTGTTTTCCACAAATTTTGACCTGCTCTATCGATTAATAAAGTCAAAATTGAGCAAAACTGAAAAATAGAAAAATCGAGTTTTTCATAAGGGGTACCCCTTTGAATTTTAATTCCAAAATCTTCAAACCTCAATTGCTCGGTAACCGTTGAGCAAATTGCATTGAAATTTTCAGCATTTGTAGCTCTTATTAAGCTCTAAATGGCCTGTAATTAACAAAATTCCCAGATTTATAGTTTTTGAACAAATTGAATTTGAAGTTTTTGATAAAATTTGGACCAAAAGTCAACTTTGAGGCTCAATTACACAAAAACTATTTAAGTTATCAAACTCAATTTTGCACTGATTTATAGAGAATCTAATGCTCTTTCTAATGATATATAGTTT